AAACTAAACGCTGCCGGCGTCCTAACTTGGAAAGACAGTGATGGTAGCTGGGTTACAGTGATACCAAAAAGCCTTCGTCGTGGGGTCATTCAAGAATGCCACCAACTAGCCCATACAGGAGTTGCACGAACATACGACCTAGTGAGCCAAAGTGCGTACTGGCCAAACATGAGAGGCGATATTGCAAACTACGTACTCGCTTGCCCACAGTGTCAATTGATGAAGGGTGATCGGTGCATTCGACCACAGCTACAAACGATACCCGTAACGGCGGTTGGTGACTTATGGTCCGTGGACATAATGGGTCCTTTCCCTCAAACAGCAAGTGGAAATCAATACATTTTAATGATGACGGAACACGCCACGCGGTGGGTAAATGCTGTAGCGATTCCAGATCAGCGCGCCAAGACCGTAACCGAGGCGGTCATTCGACATATTGTGGCGGATCATGGTGTACCAAAAATGATATTGACAGATCAAGGCCCCTGTTTTGAAAGTGAGGAGTTCAAGACTCGTCTGGAGGCACTGGGTATTAAGAGGATTAGAGCGACTCCGTATCATCCGCAGACAAACGGCTTAACCGAAAGGAACAATCGTACACTCAAGGAATGGCTAGCTGCGAAAAGAGGCAACTGGGAAACTGACTTACCGTTGGTATTACTAGCACATCGTGCCACAGTACAAGGGACAACAAAAAAGTCGCCTTTCCAGCTGATGTATGGGAGGAAACCACGCTTACCGGTGCACCATAAGACTTGGCCACAACAACAAAAATGGAACAGTAAGAGATGGACAAGTGAGCGGAAACAAGCTATTCAGAATATACAAGAGAAGCGCAAGAAAGACATCGAAAATTATGGCAAGAAACAAATCAAAGCTTGGAAGCTGTTTGAAGTAGGTGACCAGGTGAAATGTAGAGAACGAAAGTATACTACCGGAAGTGGACCAGGATCAGGAAAGCTTCTGCCGAAGTGGGAGGGACCATATGTGGTCACATCGAGACGCGGTCCAGTGTACACAATAAAGAGAGGAGATAAAGAGAAAAGAGTAAACGCCAGTCTGCTACAAAGATGGAGAGAAGAATGTCAAGACGAGGTACCAGAAGAGCAGCAGGATGAAACGTCTGTGCGGCGATCAAGGCGGTTACAGGAGAGACTTTATAATGAGGGGGCGAGTGTGGTGAGTGCTACTTATAATCCGATATAAGTAGTATATCAGAAACGAAGTAACAATATGTTTGGCACACTGGAAAGAGCAATCAAAGAAGAGAACCATGAGAAGAATGTTGCCATATGATGCAGAATCCAAGAAGCTATCGAATGAGACGATATTCGACCAATTCGTCAAGGATGTGGTAAATGATGTGCAAATGGCCGGTTGAGAATATGGTATACCAAATTTAGCTATGTACCATACGTTTCACCAAATAAACATTCCTTTCAGCCTCCTCAGTCTTGTCTTCCCTGTGGGTGCGTACTGATGAAGAGTCCCAAACTAGGACGAATTAGCTGTCCAGTACTCCCAGGTTTTCCAATGGTTCTCTAACTAATGTCAGCTCATGATGAAAATCCTGTAACCAATCAAATCCCTACAAACCAACACTTGAATACCATAATTCTTGTGGGTTCACAGTAGTTTTATCTCGTTATTCGTATTATACTGAACGAGGAAAATCAATGATATGACTGCAAATTATAAATTCTATGTCACCATAGTGAAGTGAAATGAGTGTTTCAATATAAAGTGAATACAACGTCTATTATTCAGTGTGCGTCTAGTGACAAATCTCAACCCATACTGATGGTAGCTACGAACAGTATAAGTAGGAAATGAAGTAGTCCATATCACTGTAACCTACGCTTTGAAATACATGACGCTTTAATTCATAGTTAATATAAGCACTAGTACTTTTAACTTATATTCAGCAGCTGCATGCTATTATATTATTCAGTTACTTGGACTAAATACTATTAAATGTAATTAACCTGTATCTGTGTTGGTGGATCCCAGCTCTATTCATTCATCATAAATACAGGGAATTCTGGGCTTATTGTGCATATTAAAAGCTTTTATAAGTTACAAATCGTTGTTGCGTGGGTTCTGAGACGTTTCAGCTGTTTAAATGGGCAAGATGTAACCCAACTGCCTAGTACACATAGACTAGACTGAGTTACAATCAATGCGCCAAGACTTACAGTAGTACCTGGTAGACCACTAAATGAAGCAGGATTCGACCCCACGGCATCATTGACAGTTATGCTACAAGCAATGAACCACTTTCTTACAATTAATGTACCACCCATTAAGTGTTTGTGAGTAATTAAATTAACAAACAGCTGATCAATTAGGTTTGGTTAAACATTTTATTTCTGAGACAGAATTGCTTAGCTTGCTTGATGACCAAGAAAAGTGGTGTATTGCTTTCCGAAGTTCTCAGCAATTTATCTTAAACAATACATGAAAGTGATGAGACTTTGGAAACACAACTGCAGTAACATTTACTTAGATCCAAATGTAATTACGTGATTAAAGAATGATAGCTGCACAATTACTTCTGTTCAAGTAAAGTATAAAACATAAACTACCTTAGTCATTGTTCTACCATAATTTCATCTTTATTTAGATTCCAGTTGCTCATATGTCAGACACTCAACTAACTCAGTGTGCTAACCCATAGGATGTGTGTATGACATGTAAATACATCTTTGGTACAATTAAGCGACAGCATTTATCAAGTAGAATATACGATAAAGTTCGTGAAAAATGTAAGAATAAAATCTGAACACTGGTAGGGTGGAATAATTCTACCAGACAAAGGCAAGAATTAGAGTGGCATTCATATCTAGAAACTCACTCAGCGACAAGTTCTATAGGGCCTACTGACACAACTAAACAAAGTAACTTTATCTAGAAAATAACCTGAAGTGACTGTGCGATTAATTACATAGGTCAGACCAGTAGAGTAGGGTATGCTATTGGAACATAATTTAGATAAGTGTACGATGACTGACCCCATGAAGATGAATAACTTGCAGAAAATCTCAGAAATCGCAATGCATGCACAATCACAAGATAGATTGGAGCAAAACTACAATTCTGAAAATTATTGTACTTAGGTGTATGGTGAGGTCAATCAGTGAACCTTTGGTTACCAAATCTACATCTAACACCAGCAATAGGAATGCTTTAGTATTAGTATCAGAGAAATGGAAAACCAAAAGATAAGCGATAGTGGAGCTACATAAATAAAGATTGGAAGTTTTGTGAGGACCTTCATAGGATTATGAGCAATGAAATGTGCGCGAAACGTCATTGGTAAGAAAATAATACTGCATTAATTTGTTATAATAAAGGTTTTTGTATTTCCCAATGAATGAAAAACAAAACGATATTGTTTTTACTGACGTTTCGCTATTTAATGCTAATAGCTTTATCAAAGTATTATTAAACCGGAATTTACAAATCTCAGCATATATATAACAAACAGTTAGGGGGTGAGAAAATAGACATAGGTCAAGTTAAAGGGACATATTGAAAGTAAAAATAGCGATGAAGATAACTATACCAAATAACAAAGGTAATAGTATGTCTGTTATGATATCGAAATAAAATTTACTAACTTGATCATCGTTCGTCTGTCTGGGGCATTTTTAGTTGTTAAGTTGGTGAATTGGTAAAGATAACAAAATCATCATGTGTAGATTGTTGAATTTGATAAGTGTATAAGATTATAAACGCAGCGTGTGTTTACATAATGAAAGTGCTTATCACATTCGTGTTGGTTTTGTCACTTGATGGGGGGGAGGGAGGTGTTGTAACCAGGTCAGATTCTGTTTTAGTCCATCATTCCTATTCAGGCAATTTTGATTCCACTTGATATGAAGTGCTTCTGATATTAAACGTTCTTTGTGATTTCTGAAGTTTTTCTGGATTATTTCAACATTGTCAAAATCAATTTTGTGGCCTGATTCTATAGCATGTAGACCTATGGCTGATGATTTTTCAAGTCTTTGTAGTTCAACAGGATTCTTCGGTGGTCGAACAGATGCTCTACGGTGTTCATTTCTTCTGATTTTGATTTCTCGAGAAGTTTGTCCGATGTATATCGCATCACATTCCAAGCATTTTATTTTATAGACACAATTAGATAGGAATCTTTAGGGATTTGGTCTTTTATGTAGACAAGGTTGCTTTGAAGTGTGTCTGATGTTTTGAAGAAAACTCTAATGTCGAGCTGATTGAGTACTCTTCTGATATCGTCTGACGTCTCTTCTCTATATGGAATGACGACTGTTGATGTCCATGTTTTCGGATGCGTTTTCGGTTAGTTATCTTCATCGCTATTTTTACTTTCAATATGTCCCTTTAACTTGACCTATGTCTATTTTCTCACCCCCTAACTGTTTGTTATATATATGCTGAGATTTGTAAATTCCGGTTTAATAATACTTTGATAAAGCTATTAGCATTAAATAGCGAAACGTCAGTAAAAACAATATCGTTTTGTTTTTCATTCATTGGGAAATACAAAAACCTTTATTATAATGAATATCATATACCCAATGCCCAAATTTTTTCAAACCGTTAAAAGTGAACTTGGTTTGGACATATATGCATTAATTTGTTTTTATGAAATGAGACTATCCTCTGATGGGATTCGTAATAAATAACAGCATCTAATACTCTAAAAAGTTTATGACAAATTATGTATTAGGAAATTCACTAGGATAGTAGGGTAATGTCCAAAAATCGCTAACAGAAGTGTAATGTTTTCAGCTGTCAGGTTGAATAAAATGCACAGCCATAAATATATGTCGGTATCTGATTTCACTAATATGAAGGCAGATGAGGTACCCCAACTTCAGTCAGGGGAATCTAGCTTATCAGTGCTTAACACTGTCACCACAATAATATATAATCCAAACACTTGGAAATGTCTAGGGGACTAAAGTAACTAAGTTAGCGTTATGAATACCAAAACCATAACATCAAGTACTTACCTGTTTGTGCGGCAACACTTTGATGACTGAGCAAACAAACCCGTATATTCCAACAAGGATAGTTAAGCACTGTTTATAAGTATCACTGATGGAACAGACCTTATTATAATTTGTACAAGAAACTGCTTCACTTGCGGATAGTTTCGTTTGTAATGCTTTTACTTCATCGCTGCGCTGTTCCAGAACACCCTGCAATCGAACCAATTCTTGTTTTAAACCTTCTTCTGAAGCTAGTTCAGGTCTAGAGTCTAGTTTTTCCCTCTCATGATACCGCCAGAGGTCATGTTGCATACTGGCTATTTGACGCAGCGCTACTGAATATCGATTCTCATTTAACCGCAGAGCTTTACGTAGACGTTTTAGATCAGTTTGGGAAGTTCCATTCGGATCTTCATTTTCATCAACGTGGGATGATATTGAGATGCAAGATTCGCCCATCGCATTCCTAGAGTTTGCAGTTGGTTGCACTTCTAATTCCATTTCTTTTGCTTCAAACTCGGAATCTGCTTCTGACTTGACGGACATAATTGCATCTAACTGAGCCAACAAGCCATTGATTCGCTCTTGTTTATTCGAAACTTCACTTGTGGCTAATTCCAGAGACCGCTGTGTAGTTTCAAGAGTTCGCGTTAGTTCATTTTTCTCAGCTTCCATATGAGCTAATTCTGCCTGATATTTAGCTACTTCTGTGGTTCTTAATTCAGTTAGTAAGTCGTTTGGTGAAGGAATCTTGGGGTCCATTTTGTCTCCTTCTTGAGGCTTACCATCATTAACAGGAAACTCCGAGTTTGATAAACTGGCATCTAGTAAGGTAATAACGAACTTCAGAATTAGAGGAAGTAACATGAGTGTTATTATACGGTGAAACCGTTCATCTTGATAAAAATTTCGTTTAAATAGTCAAAAAGGTGCATTTTAGGGGTCGAAAAACATTTTAAATAAAAATTACGTGACATTATTCACAATCTTATTGCTCAACAGTCGTGCCGTTTATGTACCAATATACATCGAACCAAGTGAGCCAACACGAACCAATGAACAGTTTTTTCCGTTATATTTATTTTAACCCACTATGACCCTAACAGTGTCAGACTGCAATAACTGTCCTATTCTCCAGAGCAAAACCTTACATCAACACAGCTGGGTGCCAAATTAAAGATGCAATGAAAGTACCAGTGATCGAAAAAGTATAACTTTATAGTAACTAGTTTCCTTTTATTTGGTTAGAAAATAAATGCCACAGCTCTGCGTACATGCATTTCTAAAACTCCAATGTATTTCACTACTACAAAGAGTGTGAATGGACAACTATATGTCACAAGGTAACTAAGGTTGTGGTGATCAGCTGGAGAGACTGAGTGAAACAGCTTAATTAAGTATTACGTATTTAGGTAACTACTCCTACGTTAACTCTAATGCGCACAAAGAAGTCATACACACGGAACAGTATCCCAATGATTTAAACTCTCGAACAATAAACATCATACTGCATGGTAGAACACAATTCAACTGACTAGGGAAGAAAATTATTTATACGAAAAATTAGGACTGAAGTAGTGAATTGCTGACAAATAAAACTAAAAGAATACCACCAGAGTTATATAAATACGTAGCACAAATGCAGACAAAGCACACATGATGGAGCTGAGCCAGTACATATACAATACATATACCTTCATGACGTCCGATAAACTAGCCAGTCCTTATGTTAGATGCCCAGTCATATATATATATATATATATATATACTTTACTCGAGTCTACAATGTTAATTGAAATAACTCTACTAGATATTAATTCACCCAGCTTTAAAGTGATTACTTAGGACGTTCATAAAATATTTACAAATCGAAATATTGAATAGTTAGTCAGGCTCCACCCAGAGAAAATAACTTTTAGCCACGGCCCTTATTTGCTAAACAACTACTAAAAACTATACGAAAATTAATTTCACCAATCAAATGATATCAAAACAATATCCTTTTTAAAGGAAAACTTGCCTGGCTTTTGGCATTCTGAATTCTCAGGCAGTTGGCCGAGTTTACTGACATGACCCAGGCTGCTTAAATTGCGCAAATCACTAAGGTGACTTATTGAATCAGATATAATCCGACTGTCTAATTCTTTGCGAAGATTATGTCGCTGATCGCGTTCAATCTGAAGTGACTCCAAAGCGTCTTCCAATGACTTTTCTGTCATACGCTTCAATCTAGTTATCTCCTCTAACTGCACGTGTATGACATCATTTTCTTCCTGAAGTCGTTTCAGTTCGTGTCTGACACTTTCGAATTCAACCTAAAATCAAAGATTTAGTAGAAATGAATAGTACCTGACTAGTTTTAAGAGAAAGTATTGTTTTCTGTAGCTCTAAATTTTCAGCCTCCAGATCATCATATTCATTCAAAATCTGCACCTCTTTTGCTTTAGCATCTTTAATTTCGCATTTCAAATTCCTGGATTGTTTTTCCATATCTTCAATTGATGATTGCTGCTCCAAAATCTTTCGATGCAGTGCATCATTTTCTGCCATTTGTCGTTCATACTTGAGCTTCACATCTTTTAATTCGACTTCCAAGTCATGCACCTGGTTCCGCAAACCTCGTTCTCTGTTAGCCGACTCAGACACTAAATCATCTTCTTCTTGAAAACCAGCAATACTCATCCTGCGCTGTATGAGGTTTTGCTCTTCCAAACTCTGAAATTTACTATAATCTCAAAGTTACACATCACATACCTTTCGGGCAATTTTAAGTTCTCGGTCCAGTTCTTCACATTTTCTATTTAGCTCCTCAAGTCGACTTTGTAGTTGTTGATTTGATTCTAAGAGCTTTAAGCCATATTCCGCTGCTGCATGTCTTTCTTGTATGGAAACCTGTAGTTCAGACTTTAGTTGTCTATTTTCCTCCTCTAAATTCGGTTCACCATCTTCCGCCATCCCCTAGCCAAATTGTTACGCCACAAACCAGATGGAGCGCTATATTTTCAGAGGTTCGCCTTTACAACTCCCACTGTCCATTTGATTTCAACATCTTCGAAACTGAAGTATGCACGGTGCATACGCAATGTATAGACCACATAGAATACTTAAGTCATTTTTCGACAAGTCAATACACGATATAAGCGTTTTTAACAAGCAGATTCACAAGAAGGATTTAACAATGAAAAAAAGTATTAAGTGGACATGAGATATTAATACGTTTAAATTATATGGTTAGGACTGTAACACACCAATAATTCTGTATTCGAAACTTTCGGAATGTAGTCCATCTAAAGTATCTTAAACTAATATAAATATACCGGTGAGGCTGAATGGACTTATCCGGCATGTTGGTTGAAATTTCGCCTGGCAAACTATTTTGTCAATAAATTTTAGTCAAATTGTGTAATATGTTTTCTGGGTTGATAGGAATTCTCATTTCCTGACATGTAATGTTGGTGTCCGCCTCATGCTATCCAATGCGATGCATTCTCAGCATATTGGTTGCAATGATTAGTGTTTCACGTGAACTTTGTCAAAATATCGCTATAATGAGCATAATGGGATAGTTAGAGGGCAATGTCATCTACACAAATAATTTACTTCATGTAGAAGCTGCGGCTTTCGGTATAGTATCATTTAATGAAGACTTCGCGCCTCACGATATCAATACAGCCCATTTTTGTGTGAAGAACATTACTATTTGACAAAAGAATGCCTCATTACATAGAAATCACCTATGAATGCTTACAGAACCTTCTGTAGGAATCTAAGTTATCATGTATATGTGTCTTCCACCTTATCTGTGTTTGGACAGGAATTATCTTAAGTTGAAATGTTATCTCTATGTGGATTTAATATACATTCGCACTGCTTGGTGCAGTAAAATATGGGTTATGTGGATTCAACTTATTTAAGATACTTCTATTAATATTGTGCCAATGTCTCCTTAGCTGACTGCTAAGCAAACAAATGGACGCGGTTCTCGTGATTGTTGCAAGTGCAGTACAGTCGAGAAGGCAATTACTCTGAAGCGGTAGGTTATTCTCCAGAATTATTGGCCACAGCAATCATCACTGAACACTGCATGCTGACCCTCACTGTTTAAGTCAACTTGTTCAGCCGAATGCTCCCATCAAGCATCCACGCCATTTGGCACGCCGTCGCGCCACGTTCGTTCGTTCGTGCACGATACCTAGCTAGTTGAGCAATCATCTAGCACTCCGATTTGGTCCCGAAATATAACTCGTAATTTGGACGATCAATTCTGGTGTTTCGCTTCGCCTTTGGTCTACATGGAACGAATACTACAGAAGTTGTGGATATTAGATCTTGCGTTAGTATACTTCGTAACATCCGTGAGCGTCCATAACTTCAGCTTCTGAAATTCGTTTTATTTTCCCCACTGTCACACTTAGTGCATCAATTCAGTGTATAGTATTATTGTACACATGGATTGTGTTGATTATGAGAACTGAATCTAGTCAGCTCTATTACTATCAATCTACTGTCTGTTATACCATTCCCACTGACACTGTAAACTTAATCCTGCAAAAGTTTTGATCACCAATAGTGGAGATGAATTTCTGCTGAAATTTCCATTTACATAAAGCAGTACAGATGAAGTGTCACGATTGAATGTCTAGGTTGCATTATATGGCATTGTTATCCTCAGTAACACAACAGGTCTGTGTATCTTGCAATATTTTAAGTGTTTCTCTATGTTGTTAACACAATGCATAGCTGTTTAGAGTTGAGGCATGTTCAGCTTATATTTGATGGCTATAGTTTCCCAAATGTGAGAATGTAATTTCGGTAGGATTCACAAAACTATGTTCACTAGACATTACTGAGATTGTTGAATAATTTCTAAGTTGCACATTTGCAATACTTCCTTTAATGTAAAGGTATTTAGTGTGAAGTTGATTTGCATGTAACCTTGATGAGAAAATGACGCCTCAACGATATGGATGTTTCGGATATTGTCTTGAAATTTGTGTGTAGTCTTCCACTACTGGAAAGCATATGAGGTCTATTTATGCATACAGCGTCAATACAAAACCAGCTGTGGACTACAAATGTTTTTATTTGCATGATAATTTTGCTTAGTATTAACAGAATCAGTGTATTCAGATTGTATACTAATATATAAAATTATCTTTCATAACCTCATGTTGTGCTTCATATTTTAGATATATGGAGGTTGTCGAATATGAAATCAGCGGAAATGTCAATCGGTCAAACTAACGCCAATACCCTTCATCATAAATTTATTTTGTAAATTAAGAAAATGTCTAATATACTCTTGATTTCTACTACTCCTGGGCTTCTTCAATGCGTCGCTATACTACGAGCTTTCGTAATAAGTGAATTCGGATTAATTCATGTTAAGCTTAGTCAGTGGAATAGGGATATACTGTACTATTATGAGACTGTTACTTCAGTCATTCATAGGATTTCGCGTCTGCATCTATACAATAGCACACTGTAAAAACTAAGTAGGATTTTGCAAGTTGAATAATAATTCTGTACTGTTCGATACTCTAAAGCCGCCTTATCTAGCCAGTTGCAAGTCTGTATACTGCTAAACGCCAAGTCTGTAGTACAAGTAAATGTAGTAACTTAGGGTTGATAGGTACTTCATTAATCTGATAATATGCAGTGACATCATCAAATAGACTATTTACTTGGCGATAAGCTAAGAAACAATTTTTATTTATTTCTAATATGCTGTTGAATCATGTGATGTCGTCTAATATCCATCATTTCTATGATCAACAACTGCAGTATTTGCATATCTACTTTGTTAAGTATGCGGATGACCTGTCTCAATGCATGTTAACTCCCAGCTAGACTGTATTAAGATGAACAGCTTTCTATCAGGAGTCAGTAAACGGTCTTAAACGGAATCTTTCCAAATGTCAGACTGTTAATCTTGGGTTAAGATGCAAAAGAAAGTTAAATAATAATAATAGTAATGATTAACTTTATTCGAAAAACGGTACTTGTGATTCAGAATGGAATTTTCAGCATTAATCAAAATATTGCATCTAATTTGTAAAAAGTTATATTTGTAAAGTATCAGCGAGATTAAAGTGAGTAATTCCAACGTTTCGTTCGGCAATCTGGTCCGAACTTCTTCAGGGAAATTAATCGAAATGAACATAACATAGGTTCATATATATAAAAAGGAACATCACTTGTTTTTAAAAATGTGTCCAATCATGAGTCATTCGAAAAGTATCAACAAGTATAATAAACAAAATTGTATGAGCTGTGATCAAAATTTGACCTCGGACTTACAAATATTGGTCTACCTTTGTTAAACTCTTTAAACAGAGTGTGTATGTGTGTGCGGGTAAACAGTTGTAAAACATTTCTTAACGTTTCCATACGAAGATATAGACAGTCGAGAATTTTGACCAAGTATTAATAATTAGTGATACATATCCATTTTATTTATTAATAAGGATTTCCTATGCATCAGCTAACATCAAACCTTCATGTCCGTTCAAACTGCTAGTATCTAGAATTTTATGATTAGACGTACTTTCAAAATTATGGCGTTTAGGATTGGAGTTTAGTAGAAGCACCCTGTCGGACTTATTGCTTTGCCTTCTTTCTGAAGATTGAGCTGCTTTATTCGACCTACTGGAGTTGTCAGTTGACTCGACAGATACGGATTTAGGATATGCATTCTGTTGCAGACAACGGAGAGTGAAAACACGATGATTGTGCCAGTTACACAGTTTCTTTGTTAATTTAATTCGATTGCAATATAGTTGAAATGAACTGTCGTCATGATTTGACAGAATAATTCTAAAATATTTGGGCGCCGAGTGAGAAGTAGACATTTGTACAAAATTATATTTGTAAAGTCTCAGCGAGATTAAAATGAGTAATTCCAACGTTTCGTTCGGCAATCTGGTCCGAACTTCTTCAGGGAAACCCATGTTATGTTAATTTCGATTAATTTCCCTGAAGAAGTTCGGACCAGATTGCCGAACGAAACGTTGGAATTACTCATTTTAATCTCGCTGAGACTTTGCAAATGTAATTTTGTACAGATGTCTACTTCTCACTCGGCGCCCAAATATTTTAGAACTATTCTGTCAATTCTTGACGGCAGTTCATTTGAATTGCATCTAATTTCCTCAAATTATAAATCAAATTAACCACAGAAAATTTTTCTACATTTACAATAAGGGTAATATGAAAAAACAAAAAATAACATGCAGCACAGAAAATGGAAATAATAATAATGATAGCAGCTAAGATAATGGTAATAATACAAGTGGAAATTGCCGTGGGCTTGTTTCACACGGTATTGTCGATGCGGTATACAAATCTTTGCATGATTAAAAATTTTGAATATGATGTTCAGTTTACATGATATGGTGAGGGAAAAAACAAAGATTACAGCAGTCATAGAGATAAGTTGGTGTTTGCAGTTATGAAAGTAAAAACAGAATCAACAGGACAATAAATATAATAGAAATCATAAAAGTAAAACTTGAAGGTATATAAGAATGGATGGAGGAGATTGTTTATTTACTAGATGAAAAAAGGTTAGTCAATTCTTGCCTGACACTATTTTCATCACATAAAATACGTGTATGGTATGGTATCATAGAATTTTTATACTTAGACGTGCGAGCATACAGTTTTCTGAAGTTACTTCTTGTTCCACCTGAGGAGATGCAAGGTGAAAGCTGAGGGTGAAGTGGATGCTCCAAGTGAGATAAAATCCCTTTAGCAAATTTTACTGCACGAAGTCAAGTGCCTTTCGACAACGACGTTAACTATGTAGTCCACTGGGACACCACTCATCCTACTGACAGTCTTCAGTATTCTACGAATTGTGACAAGGTCCTTTTTAAGCAAACCAGGAAAGAATAAGGGTGAGCAATAAAGAATAATAGGTAGGATGCAGGAGTTTATGAACTGTAAGAGGAGAAGTTGAGTTATACCCGAGTGCCTTAACTTCTTTATGTAAAATGTCAGGCGGAATATTTTACTGGAGATCGCTGAGACATGGGAAGACCAGGAGAGATCAGAAGAGAGAATAAGTCCAAGATACTTAACTTCTGATTTAATTCCTATATCATTGTCATCAAT